AGCTCTAGGGTGTAATATATTTCTTGCTCTTCCTCATAGTATTTGCTGGTGAAGTTCAGGTTTATTTCAAGACAATTGCAATGGCTTTTAATGTTCTTACAAGGGCTTTCAGTAGTAGAGAACCTGCTTTTGTGTGTGTAATATAGATCCATTGTTAAGGTCTTTGGGATTGGTGCAATTCCGCTTTGACTCATAGGCAGAGCTCCCCCCCCCCCAATCCCCACATTCCAAGTAGGTCCCCTGGAGTTCAGAAATGCTTTAAGGCCATGTTTTACCAAGCTTTCTCCCCCTTGTTTAAATTCCCTCTAGCATTTTTGCTATTGTGCTTACTTTTTGTTTTTGTTTTTTGATAGCTTGTGTAGTTCATATTTTGTGTTCATTACCCTTTGGGGAAGATTTTTGTAGTGTAGTGAGTCTTTTTTTAGAGTAGTAAAATTTCTTTACGTTTCAAAAATAGACTTGGTAACTTTAGAAAAATTGAGTTGTGCCTTTCAATAGCTTTCATAATGCAGTGCAAGGATTATAGTTGCTTTGGGCATAGAAGTATAAGCTGGCTTTCTTATGTACTTCTACCACATTGATGTCCAGTCATCTTGGAAATGAAGATTTCTTGATAGAAAAGCAAAATAGGTGGGATGGGGAAGAACCTGGGATGTACAAGAGGCAGGATATCACATCTGTTCTAGAACATGACCAGGTAGATGTTCTCCTAAGCTCAGTCTTTCCTATTGAAATGATGTGTTCAAGGCAGGGGTGGGCAGCTTGTGGACCTCCAGATGTTTTAATCTACACCTTCCTCCAAATGGCAATTCCATGGGAGGATCATATAGTAGCAACAAGGGGGAGGGCCTTTTCTGTGGAGGCTCCCCAACTTTGGAACAACCTCCCTGCTGAGGCCCGTTTGGTGCTAAATTTGCCATCTTTTTGCAGTACTTGGCATCAGTGATCCATGCCCTGATAACCTCTCATTTGGACTACTGTAGTGCCCTGTACCTGGGGCTGCCTTTGAAAACGGTCCAGAAGTTGTAGTTGGTTCAAAATAGAGCTACTCCTAAGTGGTTTAGGACCTGGATATCTGATGGAATATCTCCTTCCATATACAGCTGCATGGACCCTAAGACCATTGTTGGAGGTCCTTCTCTGAGAGCCACCACTGAAGGATATAAGGAAGGTGGCCAACTAGGAGAAGGGCCATTTTGGCAGTGGCATCTCATTTATGAAATCAGCTGCTAAGAGAGGTGTGCTTGATACCAGCTATTTTGGCTGTTCGGTGCCAGGCTAAGACCTTTGTATTTTCCAGCTAGTTTAAGTGTTGAATTTTATTTTTTTCCTAATTTTATGAAGGCACTGTGGATTATCTGGGATTATTTGGTTTTATTGGCTATTGATTTATTTGATTTGTTGTTCATTTTAAATATTTAGCTTTATTATCTTTCTTTATTGTGATTGTTGATTGTTTTGGTTAATTTGTTGGTTGTGTTTACTGGTGTGTGTGAGTATATTTCATGAGGTGCTTTATTATTGTTTTATATGATAACTGTTTTACTGTAATTAATGTATGTTTTTATGTTCTCGTATTGTAAGCTGCCCAAATAACCTTTGGGTTATGGGATGGCATAGAAGTGGAATTAAATAAATAATGTAATGCCGTTATAATGTGCTATTTATTGTTATTATATTTGCTGTTTTTTAAAATTGTAAACAGTCCCAAGAGCTGTTAAGGCTCATTTCATACAGTGTAAAAATGTTTTAAATATTTAAATAAATATTTTCAATGTCAGGTCAAGACAGCCCTCTAGACAGAGACCTGTAAAGGTTTTGGCTATCCAGGGGCCTAAGAAGATTATCCTGATAGTTCTTCCTTGCTTGGTCTTTTACTGTATTTTTTTACTTTTTATTGCCTTTTAAATACAATTTAATGATTTAATGGTTTTTGTACTGCATTTTTTATTTTATACAACATTGTACATTGTTATGAACTGCCTGGAGAGCTTTAGCTATGTGGTGGTATAGAAATTAAATCACCAGCACCACCATCATAAATCAGCACTAGCTAGTATAGTCAGTGGTGGTCATGGGTGTTGCAGGCTGAAACATCTGGAGGGCTGCAGGTGGCCCAAACCTGGGTCAGGCCAAGTCTGATTCTTCAGCAAAAATCTCTCATATCCTCCAGACCCACTGCTGCCTTTTGAAGCTTGTTGGGAACAAATTGCTGAAGAAAGAATTCTGCATTTGCAACAAGACCAGTATGTAGTTCAATCTGGCCTGAACTGCAATATACACATATAGGAGCTGATTAATGGATGTAGAATGCATGATTGGCACTAAATGCTCCACATGGTCAGGTTTCTTACTTAAAGGTCTCTTAATTTGAGTACCTGATTCTGTGAGCACGGTATTAACACTAACAGTCATTAGGATGGATTAAAGCTGTGCTACTGCTGTATGGGATGGTAGCAGAGGATGCAGTGATTCAAGGCTTTCTAAATGAGCTCCAGAGTCATATGCAACCCATTCTGCAAAAGCTTTTCACATGCCTAGCACTTCTATTAAACCTTTTCATTCATTAAGATGGAGGTAATATAAGTCTCCTATAGTTCTGTAACAATATCTGTATGTTTTAAGATGAACTTGATATCAATTTCTCTCAAAAGTTGATAGTCCCATTTTTCTAGAATTAAGAGTTTGGATTATCTCATTAAAAGTGTTTGCTCTCTGTCTTTTTGGTGATGAAGGATGATGTCTTAAACAATTAAAGATTCAAAGCTACTGTGATTATGTTCCATTGTTGCACATTGGTTTGTTTTTTCTCTCCCTCTAAAGTAACTGGTGTAGGTTGAAACTAGCAGCTTGATTAACTTCAGTGACTTGCCTAGGGTGACATGGGGAAGTCTGTGGGGAAGGCAGGCGTGCACTTCCATGTTTCTCCCCTCTCATTCATGTGTCCACTTTGCCGGCTTAGTAGCAAATGAGACTGGGTTTCAACATACAACTTCATTAAGTAGACAGCTCTGATTCATTCCCTTGGCACCATCTGTTCACTAAATGAAGCAGGGGAGTAGGTGAAAGAAATAGCACATGATTATGTAATGATGAGTGTGTTTAAATGAATGATGCTTCGACTTGTCACTTGTGGTTGTCTCTTCAATCATAGAACCTTCTCATTTTTTATATTAAACTGATGTATATCATTAACACAGGCGTGTATATGGGGGTGAGGGAGAGAACCAACATGCATAAGTAAAGAGCTGCACTTGGTTTTAGTCTGTTTTTTTTTTTTTTTTTTTACAAAGAAGGTGCTTCATTCCTTAATACATATGCCATTTTCTATAGTTTTTTCATCACTATGATTACCTCCATCCTCATTTCCTTTAGGGTAGAACTTTTCACATGTTTGTTGTTGTTAGTTGTGAAGTTGCGTCTGATCCATTGCAACTCCATGGACAACATTCCTCCAGGCCTTCCTGTCCTCCACCATTTCCTGGAGTCCACTTAAGCTCACGTCGACTGCTCCAGTGACTTCATCTAGCCACCTCATCCTCTGCCGTCCCCTTCTTCTTTTGCCATCTATTGTTCCCAGCATTAGGCTCTTCTCCAGGGAGTCCTTCCTTCTCATTAGGTGGCCAGAGTATTTGAGTTTCATCTTCAGTATCTGGCCTTCTAAAGAGCAGTCAGGGTTGATCTCCTCTAGGACTGACCGGTTTGATTGCCTTGCAGCCCCCTGTTGAAAAAGTTTGAGGACCCTTGGCTTAGAAGTACATCGAAGTGTACAGTGACACATACAAAGATATAAAAAACAGCTTTGTATGGAAGCAGATAAGCAATGCCTTTTTGTGGGTTGAAGTGATGGTTAAAGACTCCATTAATACTGTACTCCTCTGTCCCAAGAAAACACATCTAGAGCTGCTGCAGCTAAAAGGATGCACTACTCACTGGAAGATTTCAAGTGGTTAACCTTGAAGATTAATGAGTTTTTTCTAATTTAAGGGGGCAATTTAAATCTGAAGGGATCATTCACATTTTGCTTGGAGGATGTTCTAAAAGGTTGTCTGCTGGTATTTGGTGTGGCTGTAATAATAGTGGTTCACTAGACCTCAGGATGCAGTTAGACACACAGTTAAGCAGTCTTTTGGATAACTTTGCCATCTCTTACAGTGGTACTCCTTTGTGGTCATTAATGCAATAATTTTTAAAGCTTTTTCATTTTCTGGTTGGAAAATAAGTGGGAAAATCATTATGTTAGGAATCCTGTATCTCTGTGTTTGTAACAGTAGAATAAAGTTGAACCTTATTCATGACATTTAATGCATTTTGGGGTGGTGTTCAATGGCAGAATGTATACAATGAGAGAACGGCCAGGTGTGGAGTTTGCAAGTTGGAAGAAACATGAGGAAGAAATGATGATCCGTAGGTGGAGATCTCCCATTCATGATTGATCCAGTGGGTCTAAGTTAGGTACTTAGAGACTGTTAGAACCACTGAATTCAGAGGAACTGAGACTTGCGTTCTTGGAAGGGATTGAATTGCCTGGATCTTGCAAAAAGTTAATTTAGTGACCCATTTTACAAGGCAAAATAGTCCTCCTTTTGATTGCATGGCTAGCTCAGCTTCATTTTATGGTGAAAGAAGTGTAGTGGAAAAAATATTGAAAGGCTTTGCAGTCCTGTCACCTTGTGGTGGCAGGGAAGAATGACACCTAAACTTGCTTTCAGAGTATCTGTGTTTTCTACATATGCCCAACTTTTCTTCTCTGGCTTCTGGAAAGTATTTGTGTGTGTGTGTATATGTATTTGTATTTGTATTTATACACACACACATACACCCCTATCTCACCCATGCATTAATATATTTATCTAAATTGCTGAATTGACTGAGATTTACTCCAGTTAACTGTTAATTTTCTGTCTTTTCAGGTCTCTGGATGGCAGACTTTGAAAAGAAATGCAGCTTTAAGAGGTATGCTTCATAGCAAAATAATACTTCTGTTTGACTGTATGTGCTACCAGGTTTGAGAAGAGATCTCTGATGGAATCCTACATCTGGTTTCAAATAGAGGAAACAGATTGGGAACAGAAAAGCTCTTTAAATACAACTTAATTGAAATGAATATTTTTGGAAATTTTGACACAATTTTAAAAGACTATTTCCCATAGACAGAGGCTATGACAGTAGTTTTATTATTCACAAAAACATTGATTTTTGCAAGTTCACAAGATATAACTAATATAATACATAATTAGTATAATAATGCCAGTATAAACTGGCATTGTATTAGCTTCCAATGTTATAACATGGCAGTTGTGTAGAAGCTCATGGAGAAAGAGATAACTGTTTTGGAATTGTCCATATGTAGAAAATCCATTTGAAGAAAAAATCCAAAAAGAATATAGATGATTAGGAAGAAATATTAAATCAATTTATAGAAAAGCAAATTTTTTTTGTTCGCAATTATTTCCATTTGGGGCATCATGAACATCCCCCCTGACTATTGAATGGTCTGTAATGTAAAGAGCTCATTGGGCTAACAAGCTCTCATTTACCAACACTAAAAGGCATACATATGCTTTGGAGTCATTTCCCAACATTTCAATCTCAAATGTTTCTGTGGTGTCATAAGAAGCATGTTTTAAATTCCCAGAAACTTAGAAAAGTATTGTAAACTGTGAAGATAAAATTTTAGTTAAACTTTAGTACAAAAAAGTAACTTTTTGGTCATAGGGATATCTTTCTAATCTCAGAAATTTCTCTCTGCAGTGGTAATGTTCCCTAGAATGCAATCTGTTGCTTGTGCCAACCAGTTTGACCCCCCAAGTATGTCAGCCTGCTCTCCAATACCAGTTTTCTTTGGAAAACCCCTTAGGGCATTTTTTTCACCCTGGCTTGTTGCTTATGTTTGGAGCATAAATATACTCCAGTGACAAAATCAATACGTTACTGGGATCTTTTATGTCCCAGGTGTGCTTTGGTTTCCAGAAAGAACACATTAAGTGGAAAGTGACTGAAATTTCACTTTCAGTCACTTGCTGTGTTCTGTTACCATGCAGGTAACAGAACACAGCAATATTATAGGAGGATGGTTAGTAGCTCCACTTCAGTGCAAATTCTGCAGTCTAAAGTGCACTTAGGGTAGGTTTGTTACCCTGCTGCACTGCACAAGGGTCATTGCTCATACTATGCTAATTTTCCCTTGTCTCTTTTTTTCCTTCTGGTTAAGTCCAGCCCAGCCCCTGTGGAGAACTGAAGTGGAGTTGCATTGCCTTTTCATTGCAATTTTGTAGCCCTGTGTACCTTCTTGTATGCCAGACAGCAAGTTCTGTTATGATTGTATTCAGCAGAATCTTAATGCCATCCATCTTTGAATTGTTCAGAAGAGCAGAGTGATAGTTTCAGAGTAAATGCAGACATGAAGACATGACTGGACAACAAATAATCCCTTATACATACTCCCCAAATTTCTTGTACCTGGAGCATACTTTTTCCCTTCCCCAAATGAAACTTGTGGATTTAATCTTATACCAGAAAGGTTTTTAGATTGTGTAAAAATGAGACATGTTCACTCACAAGAGTCGTCTACCCTTTGATTCTCTGTGTGAGTCACTGTTCTGGGTGTGTGATCTCCTGAGGGTAGCTAGTACTGCTGAGTACCTATTTTGGGAATGAGTGAATGATCCAATTGCATCAGTACAGAGACCCCCTCAGTGGAAGCAGATTGAAAGGAGGCACGATCAGCGCAGTGAATCATATACAAATGGAGTATGCAGCCAACTGCTCTGGGTAGGTGCTCAGTTTGCAAGTAATCTTTCCAGTATTTCATATTTCTTGTGGCTGAAGTTTGGGATTTGCCAAACTAGCATATGGCCTACAGGCTCCTATGAGGTTCCTGAAGATCACAATTTAGTGTACAAGCAAAGCAGCTTTTATTACAGTATTTCAGAAAGAGTACTTTGGCAATCGTACTCTGGCCAACTATTGCATGCAACACAAATTTATAAAGTTATTGTTGCTGGCTGGCTTGTGGGAAGCTTTGAATAAATGATATTTGTTTTTTGTCTGAACTGATGGAAGTTTTGCTAGATTTATTTATATTTAGTCTTATAATGCAGCAGAGGGGGAGTGTGAAAATGTGGGATATACTTATAGGAGCAGAGATTGCCAGCTGTCCCTAGGGATAAGGGCCAGGAGCTAAGTGAAGTAGAGCACTGCTCCTCCTAACAAGGTACATTTTTAGAAACATAAGTTTCCCTGCCAAGGGAGCCACATAATGGTTCTTTCAAGAAACAGACGAGCCTGATGTAGCTTGGAACCAAACTACATGTGGCAATGGGAAAGCAGCTATCAGATCTTCGTGTTCTTTAGTGTGGCTGCTGGAGAGGGGATCTGGTTGGTTTCATGTTTTTCAGTATCCTAGCAAAAGCGTCCTCCCACAGACCAAGGGTATCTGAAGGACTGCCTACCTGCCCCTGTTTCGGAGGCCCTTCTGAAAGAGCCATCCTGCAAGGAGCTAAGCAGGATGGTTAACAGAAGAGGGACCTTCTCAGTAGTTGCACCCCACTTGTGGGACAGTCTCCCAGAAACAGTTCGCCCAGCACCTTTGCTACAATCTTTTTTGCACCCAGAGAAAACAATTTTATTCTGTAGGCATTTTAGTAATTGATTTTATATAGACATTTTTTAGCTGCTGTTAATATGAATAGTTTGAAATTATGTGCCTTCAGCTGTGCACTGTTTTGTTTTGTTGTTGTTTGTATATTGTACTTTAAATTTCTGTTTTTAATGTTATTATATGTTTTATGGATTGTAATCTGCTTAGAGGGCCTTTGGGCTAATCCAGCAAATAAATAATCTAAAAATAAAAATAACAAATAAATAAGGGGGTGGGGCATGATAGTAATTGAGAAAGCAGCATGGGGAGCAAGAGTTTAACTCCTCTCCCAAACTCCCAATGTCATTCTTCTGTTGAGATTTCTGAATTCCCTCACAAATGTTCATTAAGCTGAAAATGACACTTACATGCATGCACATGGTGGCCATGTGACAGTTCTCGTGCTCTCATGTTTAGCAAATCCTGCAATAGTTGTCATATTCTGTGCTGGAATCACCCTGCGTAGAACTTGTGAAGACTACAGCTCTGGTTTTGGCATTACTTGCAACTATTGATACGAGTTCAAAGTGCAGTTTCCTCTGTAGCATCTAAATTTCCTGTTTTCATACATTTGATAAGGTGCTGCTTTGTGTTTCGAGGATTAGATAAACTTGTGCAGCTTTACCTCTAGGCATCTGTTGTCACATAGAAACATGGGAGGGACCTCTCCTTACCTGGAGATGTCTTTCTCCTCTTGGTGACTTCAGCAGCACAGGGAAAACATGATGGACAGTGGTAACTGCTGTGCTTACCACACCCATCATATAAGTGAGTGCACATTGGTCTATTGGCCTTAGTGATTTGGGTTGATGGGTTTGTGGCTGAACTGAACATAAACACTTTGGTATGATTAATTTTTAACAATTAACAGTAATTCACAGAAAGCCTCTTTTTGGTGGCGGGGAGAATAAATTGTTATGAATTGAAATTTTTTACAATTAGCATTTTTCACTCGAGAAACTTTGTTCTTGAGTTTGGCTTCCACTACTTGCCTTTGTATAATTACATACATCTTCAGCAGCAAGTAAAGAATATGGTCAATGAAGAATTATCTTAAAAGTAATTCTACTTTTTTTACATACCCAGGTCTGAGGGCAAAAATACATTGAATATCTTACTGCAATCAAATTATGACATGTGTTCCAGAATAAAAATTAATTATAGTGTTTTCTGAGCCAAAGAGTCTCAGCAGTTCTTACTGAAAAGCATCTTAATTTGTTGACACCTGCCGTGTAGGAGCCCACTGCAACAGATGGTAAAAAAGTATTCCCTCCTGTTTTAATTATTTAACACTGCATTCTTTTTCTGCTAGTGCAAATTTTCCCAGTGAGAAAATGTAAGCAGGTGTTTTTATCCTGCTTCAGGTATACTTCATAAGTTTTATGATGTCAAAAACTCTGCTTTCATGAAATTTGTGTTTGGGAGGGTTGCATCCAGAGTTTGCCTCTATCTGTTACTGCATCTCCCCAGTGGAACTCCACTCAGAGTACACCCACTGCTGGAAAGGAGGGAAAGTTATTTTCCCCAGTGTCTCAGCTCACATTGTTCTGCAGAGTTTCTCAATCTTGCAGAATAGATTTGGGCAGCATAAGGAGCTCCAGTGGAGTAACAGTGGGTGGCAGTCAGTTCCTCATAAGTTCCATCTGTGGGGTTTCTCCAATGATGAGGCAAAACCCAGATAGGATAAATAGTGAACAATTGACAGCTGTCAGTTGCTTAACTGTCAATTGGAAAATACCAGTATAGGGGAAAAAGTGGAGTAGGTGCACCAAAAGTGAATTGACTTATGATCTTCCCCTTAGCAGTGTAACCCTCTTGAATTCTAGTGCTGAACTGACCCTTTTCAGTGCCCTCTACGTTTTTGACACTTCTCCAGCTAATCCAGAAAGGGGAGATCTTAAGGCCACCTCCTTTTTTCTAAGCTCCTTTTTGGAACTTACTGTGATGCCATGAGAGGTGTCCAGAAAACCCTGAAAAGGTGTTTGAACAGGAATGAGTGAATGGAGACACTTTGAAGGGGGTGCCCCATTTGATCCATCATATTCTGCCACTTGTAAGGGGTTTTTTTTTTTTAAACTCTCTGGAAATGTATGCATTTTTAATAAGGAAACTTATGCTGATTTCAAGGCTGAGAAGTAAATGGAGGGAAAATTTGTATTACATGTATTGGGAAGGTGTAGAAACACACTTGTGCAACCGTGAAGGACTGACAGAAAGCTTAATCAAGATATAAATGCGTATTTCTGAGACTGGGAGAAAAGGAGTGAATCAGCAATAGTCACAACAGAGCTGAAGGGACTGTTGCCGTTGATGACGCAGGCAAGATTGTGAAGAACAGCAAGTCAGTTTTGTTGAATGGCTTGCTAGTTGATTCCTGTAACCCACAATGAAATTGTTCTGATGGGTTTGGATGACACAGCGACCTTTGTGGGTTCAGCACCCCCTAGAACAAGCCATGGTATGACAGGGTGCTTGGTGCCCAACAATGAGGCACTCCATGGGAAGTGTCTGAATTCAGAGGACACAGCAATCTGCTGTGGCTAGTTACCCATGATGTGTTGCTATGTAATCCAAAGCCAATCATTATATTACTAATTCATTTGATGAAACAGTGCATTTTTAGAAATAGAAAATGTACTGCAAAAAATTATAGCCCTGGGAAAGTGCTATCTTTTATCTCCACCCCCTTTCAGTCTGAAGTGGTTACAATTCATTCATTTTGCTTCCTGTTTCTGAGAAGTGGAACTCAATTAGATATGATTGTATAGCTGCAACAAAGTATTGCAGAATGAAATCCAGAATATTAAATATAAAATTTGACTTCGGAATTAGATTAGTGGTCATACATTTTCACTGTTCTTAAACCAGGCTTCTCCTATCAATTAGTATTTGGTTAGGAAGAAACATACTTTGTAAAACCTCATGTTTTACAAGATTGTAATGAATGTCAAATATTTAACTTAGCAGATCCCACTTAAATGTATTGACTACCCTGGTTTTCTTACAGACACCAAAGATGCTGACGAGAAAGATTAAGCTTTGGGATATCAATGCCCACATAACCTGCCGTCTTTGCAGTGGTTATCTTATTGATGCTACCACTGTAACAGAATGTTTGCATACCTGTGAGTATGAAAATAACCATGTATAATGAAGTTCTATTATTACTATAACCCCCCTACCACTACAGTGAAGTTCTGTTTGATTTGATGTAAAATTGAAGGTGTAGCATCAAAAAAATGGAGGGGGGGCAAGGCTGAGTTTTGAGTAAATCTATCTTAAGAGAATCCCTCATTTCAAACTGGGGCTCATGCAGAGCTTAACCTGTTCTAAGAAAAGTGTGTGCCTTGGATACATCCTTGTGACACTTGCACTTGCCCTTCTCCTGGTCGTATAACAACATCTGACCAAGCCAAATCTTGGGTTTCTGCCCATGCATGGCAGGAGTGGCTTCTAAACAACCCCAGAACCCTACAAGCCATGAGTTCTGGAATGAGTTAGAAGCCACCCCCATTGCTTATTCTGCCAGGTTCAGACAACATAGCAGATGACATGCTGCAAGGAAAATTAGTCAAATTATGTAATGTTCAAGTGTTTTATGTGGGGCATGGCTTCTTTTCCCCACTGATCCTGCAAGCCAAGCTAGTAATGTGATTTTGAGCTGGGCTTATATTTGCTAAAAGCTTCAGAGTGTCCAGAGGGATGTAGATGGTGCTGTTTAACCAGGCTTCAGTATTGTCAAATGTTCCAACCCATTGTATGGAAGGACTGAATTGTAGGCACAGGAAAATGATAACTTGATCACTGAAGGACCTTCAGTTATCCAACAGATATGATGGGATATTGTTTACAAATAAGATTAACTATGTATAGAGATGTAAAATAGTTTTGTTGTTCCTTAAACAGAAAACAGTGTTTTATTAATTTAGTAATTATGTTGAAATTACCTGAAAATGAGTAAATGACCCTATCTTTTATCACTTTAGAATCCAAATCAAAGTGTACACTAAATCTTTAGTGAAACCACCTTCTCTCTTTAATTTCCTAACTTTTTATATTGGTTTTCTTCAGCTCCTTTGTTCCAGTGCACTAGATAAATGATTTACCCTCTGAAGAGGATGGAAGTGTTGAAAATTAGTAGAAAACTTTTGTTAGATTAGAATGCTTTTTTAGGCAGGTACTATTATACTTGTTAAATCTGGAAGTTGAATACAAACTGAAACACATAATACATTCCAATTCACTTTGTTGTACTGGCAAAGCAGTGTTGCATATAACTGAATGTTAAAGTGTATGGTTCGCTTAAGAAACCTTTGCTTGCATTCCTGGAATCTTAACTGTAAGTATTTCTGTAAACAGTCTGCAGGAGTTGCTTGGTAAAGTATCTCGAGGAAAATAATACCTGTCCCACATGCAGGATAGTTATACACCAGAGCCATCCACTACAATATATTGGGTAAGTATGTTAAAGCTAATGAGCAGAGATCTATAGGTTGTGCCTTTCAAAACCACAGGTAGATTCAGAAATGCATGCACATAATTTGATTTTTTATTACTAGGTAGTTTAGCACAATGAGCAATATAGGGTGGGGTGGTCCAACATGCAACCTGTGGGCCACATGCGCCTCTGAGACCTTGTTCTGCAGCCTTCTTACTGCTTAGACTCCCCCCCTCCTACTCCCTCCAGTTCAGATGCCAGTGATGGCATGGGCATGCTGGGATGAGCTCTCCTGAGGCCACTGGCCCAGCCGCATCTCTACCTGAGGCGTCTTGAGAGTTCTCTGTGGCTTGCCCCATGCTGCTCCTACTGACAGGTGGGGGCATGCTGGGAAGAGTTTGTCAGCTCAAGTACAAGAGGCTCAGCATGCCAATTCCAAGAAGGAAGGGGGGCGTGGGGAGGGTCATATGGGAGGGTTTCTGGGCAGTAGAAACAGGGAAGGAAGGGATAGATCACCCCAGAGGAATGGTCATTATGCTTGGGCTGTGATTGCAGAGGGAACTGCTTGTGATCTCTGCAGGCATCACAGTGTTCTTTTTCATTCAATTAGAGTTAGCCTGCTCTGAGACCTCATACTGGTTTTCTTCCTCATTTCCTTTTTAAATACTTAAATTATTTGTGTATATTTAATTCAATAAATGTGTTGTAAACACTTTAAATAATGATATGGGAATTTATGATATGGACATGTAATTCATTGTGTGGTCTCCGGGTTCCATGTTGAAGTCTTCATCTGGCCCTTGAGGTGTGAAAAGTTGGATGCCCTAATACATTGGTAATTTGGCTCACGAACTTAATCCGTTCCAGGACTCTGGTTGTGACCCAAATTGGTCATGAGCAAAGTCAAATTTCCCCATAAGGGTCAGTGTAAACTGACAAAGAACAACAAAGATTGTGGCCATCTCCCCTCCACCCAGCCATCGTACGGCGGGAGATGGGCACAATCGCGGGTGCACTGGGGCGGGGGGGAGATGGGTGCAGACGCAGGCACGCTGGGGGGGAGGCAGGCATGGGTGCACTCAGGCAGGGAACACAGGGGTGCATTCATGGCCATCTCCCCCCAGCACGATCGCGGCCATCTCCCTCCCCAGCACGACCGCGATCATGCCCGTCTCCCCCCCCCCCAGCACACCCACGATCGTCACCCAATGCAGAGTTTGCGACCTGCGACAAAGTTTTAATGAAATTTCTGTTTGTGACCTGATTTCGTGAGCCAAGGTATCACTGTATAAGGAGTCACCCATATTTTGTTTTTTAGCTACACTGTCACATGTGCCCTGAGGGGAAGGGATGAAGTTTTAGTGCTCATCTGATCATTCCTGTTCAGAAATAGCAAGCCACTGCTCCTGGTAGAACTTACATTAACATATATTTTTTAATTATTGCCAGTCATGACAGAACAATGCAAGATATTGTTTACAAACTTGTTCCAGGTCTTCAAGAAGGTAAGTTAACAATGCACTATTTTTAAATAACTTTTTTCAAGTGTCTGAAAAATTCTGATGTTTGGAAGGCATGGTTTGAGTTCCGTACAATTCCAAGAAATTGTGGATCGTGTAACCAATTGGTTTTACTTGGTTGCTTTGGCATAAGGGCCCAACTCCACATTATCTTGTAACTCACATATCTGAAGTTCCCGATGTGGAAGCAGTTGTGAGGATCCCATTTTCAATTGGAAGGCAGGTCTATCACTTCCCCCTGGCCTGTGTCCCAAGTCCGGGTTATCTCTGCAGAGCTTTAGCTGTGGAGGGGGAAATTCTCCCCATAGCTATTCTCAGAAAAATAAATAAGGGGGGAAGTGCCAAACATGGAATACCAACATAATGTGCAGTTTGGCCTTAAGTTACTTCAGAACAGGCAGGGTAGGTTATCACAGCATGGGTATCTCCTCTTTGTAGCTGTGTTGCTGTAAGTGTCAGAAATTAAGTCAGATGGGGATGTTTGCCACTGAAGAGGCCCAGAGACCACTGGCAGGACATTCTTAACTATTACCACTGAATGCTGACCCAATTAAGTGTTTTCAGAAAGTTTCCAAATATTATCTTCATTTCTGTCACTTACCTAAAATTTGCAGGAATAAATGTTTTAAACAACTATCATGCTGTGAACAGTTCTGACATTTCCCAGTGCATTCAAGAATTAAATAGCATCTTCCAAATTTCTTATATTTACTATAAGGCAACCCCAGTTTTTAGTTATCTGTTTATTTAATGTGAATACTTATCATATGTGTTTATAGTAAATACTGTAATTGCTTGTGACTGAAAAGTTAATTAGAAATGAAAGATGCAGAGAAGAAAATACTGTACTTCAAATTTTGTAAAACATGTTTTCCCCCTCTTAATTCTAAAGGACAATTGAACAAGTATATGAGAAAGAAAATAGTACTGGATTATTTAAAAAATTGAACCTGAAGTACAAAAATACCACTATATTCCTTGAGAAGTTCCTCAAACTGACAGTTGTTGAGTTGTTATATAATGATTTAGGTTCAGAAAACCTGGTGAACATTAGAGGGTGCTCTTGGTACATTTTCTGAAAGACTGAGGGGAGTAAATTGTTTACTTGACTTGATGAAGTCAACTGATCGTAGCTAAAGATACTGTTTTAAAATGTTACACAGCGGAAATGAGAAAGCAGAGGGAATTCTACCACAAATTGGGCATGGAAGTACCAGGTGACATCAAAGGGGAGACGTGCTCAGCCAAGCAACATTTAGATTCCCACCGTAATGGTAAATAGACACTGCATGTGTTTGGTCTTTTAGAAGAACTGTTGTGTTTGCAGAAGGATGTTGTTTACCCTTTGTGTCTTGCTCATTGGAATGGCTTGATACAGTATGTTTATCACTACGTGTTCTGTTGACTAAAGACAACCTACACTGTTGCCTGAGACGCTATGCGATATTTTTGCCTTGCAGGCATGGTTGGAAAGCTATGATGTGCAGAGGTTCCTGGCTGTACTTAGCAAGATGTTACATTCATGCCACTCATCACAAGAGGTCTTCCTCCCTAGCTGTTCATGTAGTGTACAAACTGTCCCCATAATTTGTACTCATACATAGGTTTCTGGATGTAAGGCATTCAATAGCCACAAAAGTGGGGTAACTCTAAGATTGATTAAAACGGCTAGATCAGTAACCACTTTTGAGTCTTTAGAGCCTTAGTGGGTCTGCCTCAAATTGATTGGTCTTGCTTGGGAATGCAGCCCTGCTGTTGCTGTGCCTACTGCTTTGCATGTGCCGTTGCCGTTGGATGCACAGTTGGTGGAAATATGTGAGAGGGCTTCCTCTCCATCTGCAGAATTTCTTCTGTCATGTGGTTGGACTATTTTCCTTTTTATTTGTGTTGCTCCAGCAAGTAAAGACATTTCTTTTTAAATGAGCATTTAACTCAGTCGTTGCTTAATTTCATTTAATGATGCTCTCTTTTTTGTTTGCTGCTGCTTTTAGCTTGTTAATGTGTTTTAATTATTGTTTTTATGTTTTTATATTTGTTAGCTGCTTTGAGTGGTTCCTTTTTTTTCTTTGAGAGGAAAAGCTAGATAACTTTTATTTTAAAATAAAAATATATTAGACTTTTAACAGCCCAGTTCTATGAGCTGCTGCATCAGAACAAGTTTCAGCAGTATTTGGTTTTTTGCTGCAGCAAAAGCGAGTGCTTTAGCACTTAAGTCACCCACTGTGGCAAGAGTTTTGGATGCACAAATTAAGAAGGCAGCAGCTTGTAGGATCCAGTTCAAGGCCTTTCTGACTCACAAGTTACTTCTAAATATCAGTGCTGGCACTGGTGCTCATTGGTTCATTGGTGTTTTAATGCCAGTGGCAATCCCTTCAGTTTGGTCCTGCATACCTGTGGTGCATGTGACATAAGGTGTTGTTCAGTGCCACACATTCTGTAAATGGGGATTCTTCCTAGCAATGGGGCACAGTTGGCTAGCTATATTCCACTTGCTATACAGAAGATCATGCTTTATTCCTGCCTGTGCAAATAAGTGTTTTGCCTCTACTGCTAAATCTGAGTCATTTAATTGAACTTTAGAAAGTGAATTTAAGGCATAATCCTAGAATTAGCTGTGCCTGTAATATGATTATTGTTTACTTCATTTCTATACTGCCTCATAGCTGAAGTCCTCCGGATGGCTTAGAACAGTGCAGAGTCTGGGATAGAATGTGTGGAGTGCTACTTCAGGACATTCTTCCAAAGCATAATACTGTGTTGCAAGTACTTTGGGGAATAGCAGGAGGACATGCTATTCCCCAAATTTAGCCCCATGAAGGGCTTCATTGAGCTCATATTCTTTGTTCAAATTTAAAATGTCATTTAATTGATAAGCATAATAAAATAGGAGTACTGCACTCGAACTTTAGGAAACACAGCCACCTGGCTCACATGTCACAGAGGCAATTCCTAAGTTTTTTAGCCCAGGAAGTGTGAGGATGAGTGAAGAGTGCTTGCTAATTTCACTTTTAATTAACAACCAAGGAATGCCCTGTTACCCAACAACAAACCATGGGTTAATTCTGTGTTATCCCCTAAATAAACCAGAAATTCTGAGTTTTTATGTATACAACAACCCAGGAATTGGGGTGTTGGCTGAGTTATTAACTGAAAGCAGAAATGGCTTGCATGTACCACTTGCTCATCCCACATGATGTTCAGATTGGATCTAATTCTTAAACTAGTGGAACATAATACAGAGCCCGGTTGGTGGCTGATTTTTAATTGAGACTATAGCTTAAACTGAACAAGGGCTGAAGGTCCAGCAATATTGGCTTTGCCCACTGATTTGCTCTCTCACTAGGGCTTGTTAATGCTCTAATTCCCACTATGAGCAGCCACAAAGGCATTGGCAGAGCCCTTAGTTAGGCTCCTCAGTTGCTTACTCTTTGTTGCCTGTAACTTAGTTTGTTGACAGGAACAAGTAACATAGGTGCAGAAGGAGAGAACTCTGCACAGCCTTGGTTGCTGGGAAGATGTAGGATAAAGTGCCTTGGCCTGTATCAGCTGAGGAGAAATTGTGTGAGGTGTGGAACTGTGTGTTGTGCGGTGCTGGCATTGAGGGGTGGGGAGTGTTTGAGATCAGAAACATTGTCTTGTCCCCTGGACTCCAGTTGTCTGTCTCTAGTATAGCGAAGTTTCATTTGTACAGGCATTTCAATCAGAGGCAAAGTGAATCAGACTAAGTGGAAATTATGGGTTCTGTAGCCTTGAGCCTGATCTTTTGAAATATTCTGAGTTTTGCAACAAGAAAGATTCATACATGCATGTCAAGGGGAGAAATCTGGTGTTTGCTGCCAGGAAAGTGCTTGCTGGTACGGTGAGCTTTATCTAAAGCTATTGATTTTTGGCAATCTTTTTTTAAAGTTTCCAAATGACCAAGGATATGAGGCTAGATCAGTATATACAATGCACATTGCATGTGTCACATTTTACCTTGAATCACAATTCATATTTTGAATATATTATAAATTCTGTGTAGCAGGCAGGATTCTTTCCAAAAAGGCTATGGATTTTTATTGCCATTGATTTTGCACCTAAATTTGTATCTTTAGTCTTTCATTTCATCACAGATGAACTGTGTTGGTTTTTTTTCCATAAGGGGAAACAAAAGCAGATGAGAGTACAAACAAAGAAACATCAGAAGAAAAACAGGAAGAAGATAATGATTATCACAGGAGTGATGAACAGGTACTATTTAAATGTGACCATTGAACTAAACAGATGTTTGTCTTTTGTAGCTTGTGAGCTAGCTCAGAGGTAACATTGTACATGGTCAAAGGAGGCACTTGTTTGAGTAGCTGGAGATGATACAGGACACCTGTATCCATGTGTATTGGTTCCAAGCCCCTCCCCCCCATGGAAACTGTGGATAAAAGCAACCACTATATGATATATGCTATGGCCAGTACAGTTCTTTTTTCATCGTTCTTACCTCAGCATATGATTCTTTTCTTTCCCTATTAAAACAATAATTTTTCACTTACAGAAAGCACTTTATGACTTCTCTTTCTGCCAAGGGCAGCCGCAGTTAACTGCAAATGCAGTAACTGAGCTAGCAGGTATGGGGATCCTGCTGTATTCACTGTATTCAAAGTGAAACTCTCTTAAAAATTATCATCTAGCGTGCACTCAACTTGAAGTTTAAAAGAAGCTATGCTTCCTGGATGTTATGATGACCTGGAAGTGTCACTCTTAGTATGAACATAAAACTCTCCGTGATCTAAGCATCATTGCTTGTGGTTCACCAGGCCATACATCCCTGTTGAAATCAAGCATCTTATATCCTTAAGTCAGGAATGGTCAACCTGCAGTCCTTGGCCTTATCTTAAAAGCCTGCAGGAAGCAATCAGCCTGGTAAGAACAAATATTTCCTCCCCCAAAAGCCCACTGCTCCGAGCAACAGATGGAGGGAAAATAGAATGGTTGAGCCACAAGATGGTTGCCTTGTGCATTCTTGGGTCTGGTCCTGGCCACCACTGGTTTTGGCCACATCCACTGCCGGCATGCAGCCTCCAACTGACTATCCCCTAAGGAAATGTAGCCCTTGAGAGGAAGAAAGGTTCCTCACTTTGTCCTAAGTAAGAGCGCTGTTTGTGTGCCGCACCTTTGCTCTGGACTAGAAGGTTGGATTTGGAAACCAGTGTCTTTTGGGACCCTTTCTTGTATGTATCAATTGTTCTTGCTATTTGCTCTTATCTGGCTTCAGCAGCTGTGAAACAGCAGCCACTTAGAGATACTGCTATTTTGTCCATTACATTCCCTCCTTGTTAGAAGCTGCAATAGTTTCCGTTGCCACTTGATTGGTGAAAGGAAAGCCCAAATCTTTTTAGGTGCATTGTACATACTGGCTGTGTGCTTGCACCGTACCTCATTTCAGGAAACTTCTATAGTTGTGGAATATTGGCGGGAAAGCCTCTGCCGCATTTGGTGTGCGTGAATCCCAAGGGGGTTCCTGCCAGTCCCATGAGGTATCTGGCCAGTATTTATTTATTTAATAAGCTTCTATGCCGTCCCATTCGCCGAAGCCTCGGGGCGGCTCACAACAATAAATAAATACATATTAAACATATAAAAACAATATAATTGGAGACATCCTGGCCAAAGATATAAAATCAATAAATCAGCTAACCCTTAAAATGACGTTTAAATAAAAAGGTCTTGACCTGGCGCCGACAAACAAATAACGACGGTGCCAGGCGGACCTCTCTGGGGAGCGCATTCCATAGATTGGGCGCCACCACAGAGAAAGAGCTCCTCCAGGTACTTACCCTCCTAATATCATTCACGGAGGGTTCCCGGAGAAGGGCCTCTCCCGCTGATCTCAAGGAGCAGGAGGCACGTATGGACGTAAGCGCTCCTTTAGGTAACCAGGACCCAAGCCGTTAAGGGCTTTATAGGTAATAACCAACACCTTGATTTGGGCCCGGACTTCAATGGGGAGCCAGTGAAGCTGAAGGAGGACTGGAGTCATGTGAACATAACACCCAGTCCCTGTCAGCAGCCTGTCAGCAGCCTGGCAGCTCTATTTTGGCACCAATTGAAGTATCCGAACCATCTTCAAGGGCAGCCCCACGTAGAGCACGTTGCAGAAGTCTAATCAGGAAGTTACCAATGCATGTGTCGCCAGGCAGTTGTTCTCCAGGTAGGGACGCAGCTGATGGATCAGCCGAAGCTGAAAGAAAGCACTCCTCACCACCGCTGTCACCTGAGCTTCAAGTGAAAGCTCTGGGTCGAGGAGCACTCCCAAGCTGCAGACCTTGTCCCTAAGAGGGAGTGCAACCCAATTCAGGACAAGGTCAAGGTCCCCTTCCCCGAAGCCTGATTTGCCTACCAACAGGACCTCTGTCTTGCCTGGATTGAGCTTCAGTTTATTGGCCCTCATCCAGCCCATTACCTCGGCCAGGCACCGGTACAGTACAGCCACTGCTTCACCTGGATTGGTAGAAAAAAAGAGGTAGAGCTGGGTATCATCAGCGTACTGATGATTCCACAGCCCACACCTCCTAATGACCTCTCCCAGAGGTTTCATGTAGATGTTAAATAGTAAAGGGGACAAAATGGATCCCTGTGGTACTACATGGCATAACTGCCATGGCGCAGAGCCGTAGTGCCCCAGCATCACCTTCTGGAATTGGCCATTGTGATAGGAGCGGAACCACTGCAAGGCAGTGCCTCTGACCCCCAATCCCGCTAGCCTATCCAGAAGGATACCATGGCCGATGGTATCGAAAGCCACTAAGAGGTCCAGGAGAACCAACAGGGACTCACTCCCCCTGTCTTTCTCCCTGCACAGGTCATCGTACAGGGCGACCAAGGCAGATTCAGTACCTTACCTGGGTCTGAAGCCGGACTAAAATGGGTCCAGATAATCAGTTTCATCCAAGAGTGCTTGGAGTTGTCCCGCCACCACCCGCTCCAACATCTTGCCCAAAAACGGGATGTTGGCCACTGGTCTATAATTAGTGGCCATCTCTGGATCCAGGGGCACCTTCTTCAGGACTGGCCAGACTACCGCCTCCTTTAAAGGGGCAGGTACCCGGCCATCCCTTAGAGAGGCATTAACTACTTCCAGGATCCAGGTCCCTGTCCCGTGCTTGGCATTGTTAATTAGCCAAGATGGGCAAGGGTCCAATAGGCAAGTGGTGGGATGTACTCGTCCAAACACCTTGTCCACATCATCAGGCCGCAATAACTGAAACTCATCCATCAATTTTGGACCAGACGGCGACATTGGTATCTCCCCAGAAGCCTCTGGGTCACTAGTGGAGTCCCGCTCATGACGAATCTGAGCGATTTTCTCCCTAAAATGCTTGGCAAAGTGGTCTCAGCGGGCCTTCGAGGGTGGTACCGGATCTTTCTTAGGGCCAGGATGAACCAGGCCTTGCACCACCTGAAAAAGCTCCGCCGAACGGCATTGTGAGGGGGCATTGGAAACGGAGAAGAATTTCTTTTTCGCCGCCCTCACCACCACAGGATAGGCCCGATAATGGGCTCTTAAGTGTGTTCGGTCAGATTCATCTCGTGATTTCCTCCACCTACGCTCTAGAGTCTCCCAACCCGCTTCATTGCCTGCAGTTCAGGTGTATTCCAAGGGGAAGAGTGGGCTCTGCCCAGTGGGAGAGGACGCTTAGGAGCGATTGTGTCCACAGGCCTGGTCATCTCCCCGTTCCACAGTTCGACCAGAGCCTCGACAGGAGCACCTGTCTTGTCAGCCGGAAACTCCCCCAGGGCCTTCAGGAATCCATCCGGATCCATCCAGCTCCGGGGGCAGACCCACACAATCGGGTCTGCACCCTTACAGAGGGAAAGGCTGCTCTCGAGCACAAACCTCACGAAGAAGTGATCTGACCATGACAGGGGTGTTAGACACAAATTCCTCACCCTCAGACCACCCTCTTCCTGCCCCGTCGAGAAAACCAGGTCCAGAGTGTGTCCACGTTCATGAGTCGGGCCAATGACATGTTGAGACAGCCCCATGGCCACCATGGAGGCCATGAAGTCCTGAGCTGCCCCGGTCAGAACAGTCTCGGCATGGAGATTGAAGTCTCCCAGGACCAACATCCTGGGAGTCCTCAACACCAGGTTCGAGACGATTTCAGTCAGCTCAGGCAGGGAGTCTGTTGGGCAGAAGGTTGCACGGTACACCAACAGAATCCCCAGTCTGTCTCGGTCGCCCAACACCAAGTAGAGGCACTCTAGCCCCGTCCCCAAGGGGACTGGAAGCCCCGTGAGGGAGATGGAGGCTCGGTAAATCAAAGCAATCCCCCCTCCCCTCCCCTCCCCTCCCCTCCCCCCCAGGCGTGGACGGTGCTGAACCAGATACCCGGGTGGGCACATTTGAGAGAGGGCGACATTCCCCCCCCTCCCACCCAGGTCTCTGTTATGCAAGCCAGGTCGGCCCCCTCATCCACAATCGGGGCGTGGATGAGGGACAATTTGTTGTGGACCGACCTGGCATTAAGCAGCAGCACCGTCAGGCCTGGGGGGCGGTTGACAAGACTACCTGGAACCCTCTGGCTGGGGGCAGAACCAGAAGGAGGGACAGGTGTCAGCCATCTGTCCCTCCTTCTTCTATGCAGACACGTTAAACCCCCACCGCTGTAACGACCTTTGCCCAACACCACCCCAATGGCGGCGCCCACGCACTCACCAGGTAACCTAACCGTTGACATGGCCAGGAATGAATCCATAAAAGCAAGTTAAAATACAATAAAAACGTTAAAACAGTATAAAAACTCCCTGTCTACCCCCAATATAAAATTCCACCCATCAAAAGAGTCCCTCACCAGCCCAGCCCCCGCACGGCCACGAACGGCCACAAATGGCGGCGACCATCCTTGGGCCGGCACCCTTCGGCTGCCCGCCCCAGGCCGCGTCCAACGAGTTAAGCCGGCGCCCGCACCCCACCCCCAATCCGGCATTGCTCTCACCGATGCCGGTGGGGAGGGGGGTGCAAGGACAGACGCGGGGAACTCGCAGGCCGGCAAGATGGTGGTGTCCTCCTCAGCAGCGTCCTCCAGCCCCGGGATGGTCCAGCAGTGGCTGCGGGAGCGGTGTCAGCTGTCCCCTGGGCCCAGTGGTGCGCCTCAGGTCTTCCATATTTGTATGCCTCAGGAAGAGCTACTCTTGTCTAATGAGGCTATTGTGCTTTCTGAGTGGAGGTTTTATTCTTAATTCCGCTGTTGTTATGTCTTTGTCTTTGTAATATGATTTATTTGTGGGGGTGGGGTTATAGTCTTTACAAATGCTTGTTTTATTGTGAGTCACAGACCTTCTCCTAAGTAAGCATGCTGCTCCAGAGTTTCTTTTCACAAAACTTTGTCACGTATCTCTATTGTTGCACACCTCTGAGTTCACCCAAGTGTTGATCCCTTTGTAACACTTCTCAATCTCTAGCCCCCTTATACCCTTTTCTCCTGTGCCGTTCTGGAGGCGGAGTACTGTGAAACCTTGCCTGTCAGCACTCCTCCTGCTTCTTTGTCAACTGAATCTCCTATCTGTGTTGTCTCCTAGCAACCAGCATCACCTCTTCAAGGGGAGGGACCACTGTATCTGACAGACTGCTCAACTCCTAGTCCAAACCCTGCCCAGTTCCCAAGTCTTCCTCCTGTTCTCTCATTGGTATATGAGGTCTCATCAGCCCCAATTGTCAGCTCTACCTCTTGTTGTGCTATCTCCCTGTTCTCACAGGGTAGCTGGCTATAACCTCCACCCACCTGAACCAACAAGTCCCCTCCTTGTTCCCCAGATGTTCCCCAGCCTTGATCTGATACTATTGCTTGCTGACATCCCACAACCCCATCATCTTTGTCATCTGAGCTAAAATTCCCATCAAAGCCATAAACTAATTGTGCATGTTCTGTGCTCACTCATGACACCTTTTAGAAAATGCACAGAGTGTGGCAGTGAGTTACTGCCAATGGATGGCCATTCACTTTACCTTTTTTGCTTGCATGAAGGTCAAAATGTCGTCACTACCAAGCATTTACCAGATAGGCTAGGAGAAATCACTAAAATTGACTGAAGGCTGTGCTCTGGAAGAGAGCGCTTGAGGCAGTTGAGTGTCCCATGAAATTCTTGAATACAGACTGCACATCTTGGCCCCCTGCCCTACTTTCTGAAGTAAGACTGTTGAGTCCTGCCTCACCTGCTGCCTCAGCTTTCTAGCCACAGGCCCTGTGGATTCTCTGACACCTGATTGGTAGCTTACAAAATTGGTTGCCAGAAACATTCCATAGAGGCCAAAGGGCCTGCTTGTCATACCTGGAGAAGAAGAGGTGAAGAGGTATATTCAAAAGCTCCTGCTCCCGTGGCCATCTCCATTGCACTCCGTACCAGTGAGGGTGATGTTGGTACTGATGCAGGAATCAGCACTAGTAACCTCTGCATCCAAGGCTGAGTTCAGAGATCTTAGTCTGCTGCGAGACTGAACTGATCTCTGCATCAGTCCTAAATCTCTATGCCAGGTTCATCTGTGTAGAGAATAATTACCCAAACTGAGGATGTTGAGTTACTTTCAGGGCTTTTAAAGCCCTGCTGGTTACAGTCTGAGGGAACAATCCCACTTGACCCTCTCAGAGTCTGTCATTCCAGATGGCTTGTTTATTTTCTGTAATACCCAATAGCCAAAGCTCTCTTACCTCCATGAAACTCGTGTTTCTGAGATGAGTGGTACAGAAAATTAGAATAAGAGCAGCATTATCAGCAGGTTCATTATGTGGAGTCCCCTTTGCAAAGGTCTATTTTGGAATCTCTGAGTAGGCCTCCAGGTCCAAACAGTTTTCTTTGTCCTTGGAACAGATCTCCTATGCTAAGGTGATTACTTAGCCAGTTTCTTCCTTAGCAATCTCTTTGTTGCTTGTGTTGATACCAACTCCAGGATCTCTCTTCCTGGTGGCTCCAGAGTCTGCCTGAGGGCCAGCACAACCAGAGGAGCACTCATGCACCTGGAGGCATCACCATGTTTCGAAGAGAATGATTACCACTCAGAGTCCATTTGGTATCTTTGGTTGCTCTAGTAATATCTTCACCAGACAGTGCAATCAAAACTAAAGACTCTATTTTTCTGTTGAAGACTTGAGTCATTTTTCTGACCAAATTATTTGGATGGCTCAGTCCCTCAGGCTGGAGACACAGTAACTAACCTCAGAACTCAAGACCTGATACTTGACATGACTTTAGATCCAGGAGCAAGCCTTTTCCTGCCCTCTCTGCTACAAATAGTACATCTGTTGTGGAAAGCCCTATCTTCCATGGCCCCTGTCTTAAAGAACTTGGAACATTATTTCAGAGTTAAAGAAATGAATGCTCATTTCTTATTTTCTGACCCACCTCCAGACTACATCATTGTGGGGTTGACTGAGGTCATTCAGGCAAACTCAGTTCTTCTATTCTTCATAAGGTTTATAAGTTGCGAACTATCAAACAGCCTCAGCAATGCACCTGTGATTTCTATGGGGAAAAATGAGCTCATTGTACAATTACCTACTGGATGACCAGCACAAGCTTTTCTGAACATATCAGTTTGGAGCTGTCTGTCCTTCTAAGCAACCGATTAATAAATCCTGTTTTCAAACAGATTGTGATGCTAAGGTAATGGTGGGAGCCATAGTCTTGTTCTGATCTGCCTCGTTATGGTCTGCTGTCATCCCCCCCCCCCCGCCCCAAGAAGCTTGCTCATACATCAGTGAATAACTGTTTGACAGAGAATGGGCTTTTCAGTGTGAGAACAGATTACACTATTGATACTGTACGAAAGTTGAACACCACAGCATGCAAGTTGGGGCTAGAGCAGCATTCCCTGTCTCCTTCCCAACAATGGCAGGGGTCCTGTCAACCAACTTTCTACGCTTATTGACAACAAAGTGATATATCTTTTTGGTTGCTGGAACCCACTGCTCTGAAACTCTGTTGAAAAGTTGAGCTACTTGCAGGAAGGGCAAATACACTGGCAAGTGGTGCCTTTAACTTTGCAGCTTTACCTAATCCTGTCAAGCCTCCTTTGGAACTCAGCTGTCACCCTTTCTTCACTCTTAGACACAGATCCCATTGGATGCATTGATCCTCTCCATCGTCTGGACGGTTTACCAAATAGAGATTGTTGTCTCACTCCTTTCCTCAGCATTCATACTACAAATCCACTGTAGGTGCTGCAGCAGAAGGTGGAAACACTACATCAAAGGGGGCCAACTGAATGAGTTCCATCCAGTCAGAACAAGGACAGTTTCTACTTCCAGTACATTATAGTGCTGAAGAAAGACAGAAGACTTGGAATGATTCTGGATCTATAGGAGATCAGTTCTTTCTTAACTGCTAAAAAAAGTGTAGATGGCAACCCTGGCATGATCCTACTTCTCTAGAAAAAGACTGGTTTGCTTCCGTAGATTTCAAGAATGTGAACGTCCATGACACAACTGAGCAGAGATATCAACATTACCTTTGCTGACAACACAGAAGCATGCCATTTCTGGCTTCTCCTGTTCAGTCTTGAAACCAACACATTCAACAAGCAATAGACATCACAATCATGGTTTGGAGCCTGAAAAACAGGGAGGTGCGCATTCGTGAAAGTTGATTGGACTTCACAATCCAGTTTCTGGACATGGCATTTTCTTGCAACATACAGCTCGCCTTTGCTTAGATTGCTGGTGTAGGCAATGCCCTCACAGATCCACTGAGGCCCATCTATCAGACCTTTCGTGAGTGGGAGCTGGACAACTTGGTTCTAGACTTCCTTTTCTACACTAGGGCACTCCTACAGTTGACTTGTTCTCCATGAAGGCAAACAGTGGTTGCTAGTTTTGTAGTCAAGCAGGAATAGGCAAGGGATCCTTAGCAGATGCTTTTCTCCTCCCTTGCAAAGCAAGGTTCTTTTACTTGCTTCTTCCTTTTCTTTGCCAATCTGGAATTGGCAATCTCTGGAAGAAGTAACTTCTTTGTTTCTCTAGAAGAACCTGCAGGGCTTTCAAGATGAAGTCCTTTACCAAATGGAGGGGCCAGCACAGCCTTCACTAAACCAACACCCCAGGAAACTAGTTGCATTGTGATAGATTCACAATAAACAATCAAATCAGCAACTCCAGTTTAGTGTAGAAAACAATTCTTATGGAAGTTGCATGCCTCCATTGGTTCTTCTTGGTTTGTATCCATAAGAACAGAAGAAGCTCTGTTATATTTAGTGAGGCGTGTCCATTTATCCTTCTTTTGTCTTTGCCACTGGTTCTCCAGGATTCCAGGTCTCTCCCACTACCTTATATCCAGTTCCTTTTAATCTGTAGAGGCTAGAGATGGAGCTCTCTTCTTTCAGAGCATGTGTTTTACCAGTGAACTGCTGTCACTCCATTATGTGTAAGGGGAACACTCAGCTTAGAGCGTTCATTTTTTTGGTTTTGCTACTGCAAAAGGAGAATTTTGAGGAGCTTTCTGTTAACCAGTGTTAGCTGTTTGCTTTCTCCCAAAGGTAAGCATCTGCTTGGAATGCAACAGCAGCAAATTACGTGGATTGAAGAGAAAATGGATTCGCTGCTCAGCACAAGCTACAGTCTTACATTTAAAGAAGTTCATTGCCAAAAAACTTAACCTTTCTTCATTTAATGAGGTAATCAATGAGGTTAAAATCAGAAAAAATCTTTCTGTAAAGAAAAGAAAACTACAGCTGGATTTTTACTATGGATCTTTTCAATTATTAAAAATGTTACATCACCCCAGATACTTGAATGTTGTTGTTGTTGTTGTTGTTATGAAAATAACTTTCCAATCTTTATTTAATGGCACATTCAAACAGTCCCTTAAAGGAATTCCCTTCTCAAAATTCAGTTCTGGTGCTCTTATACATTAGTCTTTCCCCCCTTAGTTTCCATTTGATCAACTGACTTTAGTTCACCTGGCAAGGCTGAACATAGGAGGCCTTAGGTAGCAGCCTGTGCACTGTCCATTGACATTCCTAGAACAGCCAAGAGGCCTTCAGGTTTTCTTTGGATTCTGAGAGCTAGTAGACACCTCCTTTCAAAACAAAACAGATGCCACCAAGTTTCTGATATAAATTGCTGGGTTTTATGTTAAGATAGATGGCTTGTGATTTGACCATGCAAAGTTTCAAGCATGTACTAGAAAAAATAAGCCCTCTTATATCCCATATCTGCAAAAACACCTTGCAATGGAAAGATACCTCTACAGGTAATCTCTTGCATTTTATAGAAGGCTGTTCTGTTTTGTTTCACTCATTTCTCTGTGGACCAATTTATTAGCCTTATATTTGAAAAAAGGGCTTGCTTGATCTCCATCTGCCTGTTTTCTACTGTACTAGTGAGATCTGCTTTGCAGGAAGATTTTATGGATTGAAATAAAGCAAGAATTCATTTTTAATTGTCTCTAAATTAAAGGCTGTGTTAAAATAGTGCATTGTTATTTATTAATAATATTAATAATAATATGTGTTCATTTTGAGAAGTCCCAGCCTCTGGCTTTAGTTTATTTTCCATAATTGTAGAGATCCTCTCTTTTTCTAGACTATGGGGCAGGCCTTTTTGGCCCAACAATTCTTCTGCACACCAGTAGCATCTAGTGCACAGTTTAAATCCTGAACCAAGTCTTTACAATCAATCCCTTTAAATGCGCAAAGGCTACTTCTAGGCAACCTGGTAAGCTCAGTGGTAGGATATGGATCCAGTGTAGCTTACAGCCATGTAATGTTATGTGCTCTGTTGTTTGGAGCTTAAGGTCTAAATAAGTTGATTATATTTTAATGGACTTCATGTTTGTGTTCTGGAAACCACGTAGGCCTGTACTTGGCCTATTGGAAAAGCGCTTCATCTTTAGACCACTGTTTTATTTAATGTTTGCCTTTGATTATGTCATGTTTTTGACATGTTAACCTGATGTCTTTGATAAACAAAATATTTTTGTGTTTATTAGCTGGATATATTATGCAATGAAGAAATTCTGGGCAAAGACCATACTCTCAAATTTGTAGTTGTTACAAGATGGAGATTTAAGGTATGCTGTATTTGTGGTTGATCAGTACATTTACTAAGTTCTTGGATGCTCATTTCTTATTTTCTGACCCAGCTCTAGACTCCCATCTTGTGGGGTTGACTGAGGCCTTTCATGTGTGATATTGACTAATATGCTAAAGTCACTTCTACCTCCCAAGTATGTCTCCTGTCCTGCAAATTGCTCTCAGTGCATCAACAGATGTTCATCCTCTTGGAAGGCCTGATCTGCGGATCAGGCTTTTTGTGATACCTTGAGCCCACAAAGAACTTCTGCTAGACCGTACACCATTTACAGCCACACCCTTGCCAACCAGAACTCCGCCTTCTGTGGAGCCCAGGGTGGAAGCTATGTCCAAATCTTTATCTCATGCTCTTTGTGATTTTGCAGCCACTTAAGCAAATGCAAATGGAGAGAATACTCCAGGAGCACCTGTGCAATTGTGTACAGATTTAGAGTCCCTTTGGGTAGGGGATGAAGGAGCCCCTGTCAAGGTTTGTGGGCTCTGGATGGGGGTGGCCAGCCTGACAGTTATTTAGGGACTGTGGCAGCATTAACTTTGTTACCCGGAGGAGGGCTTTCTCTGCGGTGGCGCCCCATCTACGGAATGCGCTCCCCAGAGAGGTCCGCCTGGCGCCGTCGTTATTTGTTTTTCGGCGCCAGGCTAAGACCTTTTTATTTAAAACTTATTTTAATTGTTAATTTATTGGTATTTATAGGATTTTAAATCTTTTAAGCCAAGATGCACTGGGTTTTCATATTTTTATTGTATAATTGTTATATTGGTATATTTTGTTTTTGTTGTGAGCTGCCCCGAGGCTTTGTTGCGATGGGGGCAGCATAAAAATGGTTTAAATAAGTAAACAAACAAACAAACGAACTTTGTCATCACATTCTGCACCAGTAGTATCCCTGTCTGAAGTAAGTGTCATCCTTTATCTTTCAGAAAGCACCTCTACTGCTACATTACAGACCCAAAATGGACTTGCTGTAAGAACTGTTTTTGTCCTTCTGGACGGTTTTTTGCAGAGACTATCATTGGGCACCTTCTTAGTGCATCACGCAATTCACCTGTGACACAGGCCAGCAGAATCCATTCCTGAAGACTGTAGTGCTCTCCCATTCACCCATCCTGAATATTTCTCCAAGGGATGCATTCACCTGATTTTTCTGGACAGAAGAATATTTATACTTTTTTCTACAAAAATGGAAATTGCCGCTTGAGAGGACACTACCAGCACGAAGTTTACAGATGCTGAAAACACTTCACAGTTCCCTGCGCATAGCTCAGTTCTTGGTCATCATCCTACACATGCCAAATAGGCTTAAAACGGAGTTTGTGAAGGAGTTCATTTAGGGTTTGTTTTCAACCAAACAATTTTTTGGGGGGTTGCTTCACAACTTTATTGTGGCATATAGTAGTATATTTTTTGCAAGGTTTTCTGTCTCTTATACCTCATAGCCATCTTGTCTGTTAGTAAGCCCTTTGTAGAATATTTAACATTGACGAAGATCTAATGGCTGGCAGTGATTTTGCTGTATGACACTGTTTTGGATTATGCTTCTTTGTTCCTCTGCTGGCTCATTTGATGAGGTTATTGGAAAAGTTTCAGTTGTTTCCATTCTGATGCAGTTTTATCAGATCACATCAAAGTGCAGAGCATTTAGAAAGGCCCCTTTTTTATGGTAAACAGAGCTTACAGAGCTGGGGCTGATATTGAACTGGGGGATTTGCCTTTCCACAAATGAAATAAGCCGTTAGCAGCCTTAACTACTTGAACTCCAGTATTGTTCCTTTGAACGACACACTATTCTAATGTTTCAGTATAGTTTCTGTGACATGGATTAGTACATTCACTTTCCTGCTGATTTCTAGTTTCTGTAATAAGAAACTAATGAGAGCATTGTGTTCACCTGATTCTCTACTGAACTTATAGGGTCAGATCTAGTTGGCAATGTGGTACTTTCTGGCCTTAATCTATAAATTTTTATTTATTTTTTTAAATCTATTCCCCCCAGGAATGCATAACCCCCTTTAAAGTATTTAAGTGCATTCCCCTCACACTCGGTAGAGGATCGAACAGCTTCAGATGGTAAATGCCGCTGTACTTGAACACAGCCTCTTGAAATTTTGCAGGGGAGGGGGTAACGTTCTGTTCAGAGGTGACTTCTGCAGTTTTGCACCACCCAGAAAGTGTGTGCGTCCAGATTTTATGCTTGTGATTGGTAAAGGATGCTTAAAGCTCTCTCATCTGAGGCCATGTTGCTAATTCTCAGTGATCTGGTATGGGCTGTCTCCAGTGCCTATCCTCATGGTATCCCCTACATAAAGGCCTGTGTTCTTGTCTTTCTTCAGTGTGCTTGTGCATACACAAATATTGTTTGCATGTACACAAATTGGCCTTTTCTCTATCAGACACCCACTTGGTTGGGAATTGTCCATGGCAGGTAGGAGGTTGCCATTGAAAATGGTAGGCAAGAAGGGATGCTTTGCTTTTCACCATTGCATTTTATTCTTCTGCAGAAAGCTCCTTTGAGCTAAGTGTTACCATTTCTATTGCTTATGCCCTGCTGCTGCTGATGGACAGAGCTGGAATTTTGACCTGCTGAGAAGCAGAGTGTGGCCGCGTGGTTGTGTGAAGCCTGAGTTTCAGAAAGAAGGGGGGCAGGTTCATGTGGTTTCTCCATCATGGGAGAAGGTCTTTTCCACTTTAGGAGCTTAGGTCTGCTTAGGAAATATATATTCCAATTTACTGCTTGACATAAATGAATAAGGGCGACGGATTTTGATTGTGAAACAAGCCCAAGCAAGGTTCAACAAGGAGGTATGTGCTTGGGCTGTTGGCCACGTTAACAGACTCTAAAATCAATGCAAATGTGTGGCATGAAATGCATGCAAAGCAGCAAATGCATGTCTGAAGCAGGAAGCTTTTATTTTGTTTTGATGGATTTTGAGATCAATTCTCCATTTTTATAGCTTTCCCCTGTTAGGCCTCTTTTTGTAAGGATAAGGCACAAGGCACTCACTGTATCCTCCAAGGAATAGGTGAATAGTCCCAGTTCCATTTGCATCAGCTGGAATAAAAAGGAGTGATCAAACTCTTCCCAAGCCACCTTCTCCTTCATACAGCTTCCTCTGACTCTTGTCAGCAGATAAGGATATTGGAAACCCATCTTTCCATTGTGAGTTACGTGGCCTTCCTTATCTCTGATTTTATAGTAGTAAATATAAATAGGTGGAGGTCAAAGGAGTCAAACGGAGGGACAAAGAGGAAATGGAAGCAAGTAGGAAGTGGTGGGATGAATACCCAAGTTTTGGTTTAGCAGCAGACGTGGGGGCAAAGAGGTTGGACACTCTTCCAGGGAAAGGTCTCCTGTGCATGCCTGTTCAAGTAAAAGGGAGTTGTAATGAGTACATCGACCGTTAAGGACATTTATCCACTTTTGTATGGCAGACCCACTGAAATGATCAGGCACACACTTGTGCCCTTGTGATCCTTCCATTTGTTTCCATGGGACGTGTCCAGAAGAATTTTCTATGTTTGGATAAGTGACCTTAAAACTCCTCTCTTTCTGATAAGAAACTGGATATCGGACAGTACCTTCTAAGTTTAAAGATTTTTTTAAAGCAGTTAAGGGAAGACTGGACCTTGAAGAGGACCATTTGGGAATATATCAGGACCCCCCAGATAGTACAGCCTTAAACTCAAGGTGTTCCTCCCCACCAGTTCACAGGCCACATGGTGCTACCCAAAAATATGCTGGCTAACACTGCTGGCGACCCCGTCTAGTGCCCACTTGATTCAGCTAAACTTTTTGGAGAGTTTAATGACCGTATACAACGATTCAGTCTACCTCAGACTAGATACACAGCTGAATTGTAAGACCGATGCCATCTTAAACTATGGAATACCAATATTATCCTGTGTAATTTGAACTGAGGGATTAAATAGTATCAAGATGCAAACTACAACCCCACAACTCTTGACTGCAACAGTCTACAGAATCTGTATTGCTAAGTTTATAGCAAATTTTTGAATCACTTGAATTTGATACGGTGCTATATAAATATATTTAAATATATATATCTAGTCAGGTGCATGAAGCCAAAGCCAGCAGTAGACACCTTAAGCTGGTTTTGCTACTCTTAAATGAGTGTTTATCTCTGCTTTTATAACAGCCTGATGAAAACGACCTTGACAGAAAATACTTGGTTTCTTTTTCTTTTCTAAGCAGCTTCTCAGAATACTTCTTTTTTGTATGGAAACTGTGTCCCTTGAGGTGTGTTTGTTTCAAAGACCTAGCTGGCTTGTTTTATCAGAAAAACTACAGCAAATATGAACAGAGCAGATCCTTGTGATAGACATTGTCTCTCTTCTGTGAAGCTTTTAAGGGGCAGGTTGCACAATGGTTATGTTGGCAAAACGTTTTGCCAATCTTCTGGCTCTAGGTCTTCAAATCATATTCAGCTTAAGTGGCTTGTGTGTTCAGGCCACACTGAATTTATCTTGGTCAATTGAGCGATATATAAAGTAACTGTGAAGTCGGATTTGTTTTGTTACTTTTTTTTTAAATGACTGCTTACCGCTGGTAAATAAATGCAGTAAAACTGTCTTGTTGCATTATCCTTGTGGCAACAAAGAGACAAGCATAATGACGCAGGTTCATGGTCTCGCTTGGTATAATTTTCTTTTAAAATAGAGAAATCAGAATATATAATAATGAATTTTAAATAAGATTTGGGGGGTTTAAAAGTTAACTTTATAAAATTATTTATTCTATTTTAAGCCTTCTATCTTACTTTTTACCATCTAAGTATTTTTTTGGTTTCGATGGTCCAGCTTTATTTATGGGCATATAAAATGAAATTGTGAGATGTTTTTTACAAGCTTCTTCCTTCTTTTTGTGAGGGCCAAATTAGATGTTGCACTAGTGCCTGCTACCAAAAATGGCGGCCGCATGTCTGGTTACTCTGCTTTGGTATGTCTAGTATGACATATCCGTGGCCTGACCTCAGGTCACCTTGACTAGTTAGTCAAGTTATACTAGATATCATGGAGTGGTAAGGGAGAGGAGAGGAGCGGCGACGGCAGTGTTTATGTTTGGTAGCAGCCACACATTTTGTGCAACTTTTAGTTTGGCCCCATTTGATTTCATTTTTGGTATATTTTTGTTTTGTATGGATAAAGAGCATTACTTTATGCTTTTTGTGCAATAGGTTTGGAATGTGCTTTTGTTAGGCATACATTTTAATTGGTAAATGTAGCATCTACTAACTGAAAAGGAATGTAGGTGATTTTAAGTGTACATTCAAATGAGCACTCTCTCTCTCTCTCTTTCTCTCTCTCTCTTTAATTTTCCCCCTTCTCTCCTTCCTGGAATTTTTAAAAGTGACATTTGGGAGTTGTGTCTGTGTGCAAGAACTACCTGTCAGCAATATTTTAAAAATGATTTGGCAAGGACTCTTAAATGTGAAATGTGGAAGTAATCAGCAAGATTTGCAGCCTCTCAGACTTTCTTTTGTATGTGTGCGTGTGCCATTGGTATGTCTGGTATTTTTCTCACATTTGTATAAGATTTAACCTGGAAATATTTATTTCTTAGTGGTTGTGCAATGCTACAGGCGCAAATTCTAACCTCTGGAGAAAAACTACAATGGTTAAAAAATATCAGACTTCAAAATATGATGGTGCTAATTTTTTCTTTCCTGAATGAGCCTCTTGAAAGCTTATCTGGCTCTTATTGTTTTCATAACAATCTAATTAGTGTTGGGAATTTCACTGTCCTGCTTCTTTTCCAATGGATGACAAATCTATTAGCTTAGTTAGCCTATTCGCAATTATTTGAAACTGAGCTGTATCTTTAAATGCAACAGGAGAAAGCCAACCAGTTTGTACATCTACACAATGACTCTTTGATAACTTTATATTTTAACCAGTTCGTAAGAAATGCATTTACTGCAGATGGTAAAACTGTACTTTACAGAAAAAAACCTGTTTCTGTGTTTCCTCAGGTAATTGCTCCAGTTTTAAACACTTCACATGATACCTTAATGTAGTGTAGATTTGCGTGTGGGCCCTCGGATTTAAAGCATAAGGAGATGAGGCGCACAGACAGGCCACTGCTTGTCCGAATTGCAAGTGGATGTATTCACCTTGTCAAAATGTGCACAAGGAACACCACACTTTTCTTAAGATGCAGACCGTTGGCTTGGAAGCTCACTTTCCTGTTTAAGTGGAAGTGGTGGTGGAGATTTGTTTCTAACCCTAAAATTGGCTGTTGGCATTTGAGTCTGACTTCCTCCCCTTTTTATTGTGTGTGCAGTGTCCCGGCAGTGTCTCTCAGAGGCTGCAGCTCCCCATCTGGGTCTTAGGCTCAGGCGCTGTACAGAGCAGAGCCTGAACCTAACTACAGCTGGACAGCATGTGCAGAACAGCTGCATATTGGGCAGGAACGGGATGAGGATGTGTGACTTTAACTCGCCGCTGACCTCATGCATCCAGAAAGGCCTGGGAGTGGGGGAGGATGCAAAGGAAAAGCAGCAGAGGTGAAGGATCCTCTCCTGCCCACCACTTGATCACTACAAATTGTCCACTTGCCCCACTGATTTGCAGGCCCAAGTGTGTTGCTGAATGGGTAGTTTGGGCCAAAGGCATCTGTTTAATGTCCGTGAGCATTGAACCTTCGAGGTTGCCTGTGGGTCTCCTTCCTCTTTGTGTGAATGGGCACATACACTTGCATGAGGAAAGTTAACCGAGGTGCATGGCGTGCACACACCAGGTATAGGGCACAACAGAATGCCCTCTCTATAGGGCAAGTGACTAGCATTAACAGCCAAGTGACAGGACAAGAGTCACAAATGCCATTTATTTTGCAACAAGATACACTTAGGGTTATGGAACAATAAGCCAGAGCAATCGGTTAAGCCTTTATCCTCACTATGTGGCATAATAAAAGTTGCTGAAAATTCTTGCCCTATTTTGAAATTGAAAAATCATATTTTTTGGCTTGGTTTCATTTGAAAGTTTACATTTTTTTACACTTTGTGTTGCTGTGTAACTTTTGTACTATTGGTGGCTAGTTTTGTCTGAATAAGCCTTTTGGGGATTATTGCTTAATGTTTTGATTTTATGATAGTGAAGCTTGTATTCAGTGTTCTGCCAATTAATATTATATGCTTGTAATAAAAGCCAAAAAAAAAACCCCTCCTTATACTTCTTTGCTTGGGAACATTTCCATATGGAATAACACAAATATATACAAATAGAGTGCAGAGTTGAACATAGAAGTGCAATAGAACAGTTTAAAAAAAAAAATCACACTTTTAAGGCCTCGGTACTCCCAATGAGGCCTGAGTAGTGGCCTATAACTTCCCATTACTTTGTATGGTAGCCTAGCATTTCATTAGCTTTTTTGAAGCTGCATCCCACTGCTGACTTACATTTGGCTTGTGATGGGCTATGTTTTAAATATGTACTCCTGCTGTGTATTAAGCTGAGGTTCCTCCTTCAAACAATTACCAGCCACAGACTGTTTTCCTTGCAAAACGTTCTTTATTGCTTCCAAGAACAAATAATTCAGAACAGGTCTCTGAGCACGCACAGAATGGTTTGTTGAACCCAATCCAGTGTTCACTTCCAGGAACTCTCCTTATGAACATGCCTGGGACCCATCTCCTTGGGAGGGGCTTTCTGAAGGTGAGCACGCTTCCTCTCTGTGTGCTGCTTATTCAGTTGGACCTTCCACCTCTGGTGACGCCTCGCCACAGGATCAATAACAGTGGCCAGGCCTGCGTCTGAGAATTCCTTATCTGGAGAGGCCCCTCTCACAGGCTGTACATCTTTGTCATTCCCAGGAACTGCCATGATTGGCCTTGAGAGATTCACCTCTTCCCCCTGCATCTGAGAATCTTGACCTCCCCAATTCCACTATAATCTGTTTCACTTTCTGATTCTGAAGAACACTCTTGGATGCAGCCAGCAGTCCATGAGAGCGATTGCCCTGGGTCACCTTGCTTCTTGTGCCCAACATCTGCCAAGCCGCGTATCCTTTTGTCTTAAATCTGTGTATTAAATGCAGTAAAAGGTAAAAAATGGAATTCACAGAGCAAATTGTGTTGATGGCGTTCATTGTATCCTTCCAGAACTCCTCAGAGTCTGCATGGTTGGCAATACCTGTGTTCGTTTGAAGGAGAACTCAGTTAAACAAGGATGGGATAACAGAGGCAGGGGTATTAAATTTGGATGCTGGGACCTTTCATAATGCCAGTGGGCATCATCCCAACATGCCCTTCTTATGCTTGCATGTGGATTCATTTATTTGGGAAAAGACCCACGTATGCAGGGTTTGGGCATTTCCCTCCCATCCCAGTGTAAGCCACTGATGGAGACGAGGCAGGGAAGAGCAGAATGGAATAACCCTGGAGAGGGAAGGGAAACTTGTGGCATAGCCGTAGTTGGTGGTAGGCTTGTTCCCTTCAGGCAGACTTTCTCAGGTCTCGTGTCCTCCAGATAAGGACTACAGTTTCATCATCCCCTCCCCAATATGGAAGATGGGAGTCGTAGTAGTCATACCTGCTTGGAGGACATCAGGTTGGGAGAAGGATGTGTTAGAATGTATCATTTCTTCCTTATCTTAAAAGAGGAAATAGACTATATTGAAATAGGGGGGAAATGGCCAAACAGTCTTTACATGTTTTCATGCTCAATTTGAGGCCAGTTATGATCTCAGACGCATGGGGAGCTTAAGCAGATCTCCCTGTACCCACACACCAGTTCCCCTGTGAGCACAAGTTGCTGAATTCCACTTCTTAGTCAAACTGCTGTGCAACTAGCTAATATGATTATTGCATGATTATAATATTTAGCCGCTAACATAACAGGCTGAAATACTATAATTTTACAGCATACTGAGAATGCAGCAGGCATAAAGAGTCTTAATGACTGCAAAGCGGGGCATTCTTGCATTTTTTGCTGCTTCCTTTTTGAAGAGGTGATGCTAATTCAATCTCCGGTGCACATATGCTCTTCCATTTCAGGACACCAGGCATGAGAAATAAACTTTAAATTAATAGACATTAAAAACCCATCAATTTGTTCCAAGCCAAATTAAAATGAAGTGTGGAAAAGGAAAAGGAAAATGAAGCTTTGCACTGTGGACAGCTTGCATATATTGCATAGTATAATGGCTGTTTTGGAGAGAAACAAAAGGTGGTAGGATTTATTTTTTAATTCTCGCAAAAGGAAGATTTTGTTGAGGACTGCAAAGCAATCCCCAGAGCACATGCTTTCCCTGCCAAAGATTCTGGGTTCAAGTGCAACATCACAAATTTTAAGAGACTCCTCCAGTGACCCATGATGGGAAATGCTCTTTAAGGTGGTATCCTTGCAATTTTAGAAATTAATGCTGGGAGTTGTTGTTATTAATATTTACATGCCACCTGTTCTACCACTGGCATCCCTAGGCAGCTAACACTACTAGAATTGTGCCTTGCTCAGAGCTAGATTTCACTGACCTATTTGATGGTTTAGCAGTGTTTATTTCAGATTTTCAATATTTGCTGGAAAGGGCTGTTTCCCCAGCTTCATTCACTGAGGGCAGCGAAGTGGAGAAATCATTAGATGACTGTTTCAGTCAAACATACTACAACCAGCTGTGTAGCAAAGAAAGGATAAATCAAAACCATGGAACAATAATCATAAACAAACACCGGTTGCGTCTTCTGTCGCCCTCCCTCAACTTTTCCCATTTCCTGGCAGTAGGTGGTGCTGTTGCTGTACACGGTGATTCAGTTGAAGGAACACTTAGGATAAAGCAACCTGACCTCTGATGGGTCCCTTTTAGCCCCAGAAGACTTGTGCTGAAAAGAAACTAGCACCCTGATTCTGGGCTGCAGGCAACCTGAGGTGTTGCAGGGTGAAAACTGGAAGCAGAAGGGGTCTTGGAGCCAGGCCTGAAACCATCTGCAGGCAGGATGGTGGTGAGCCAGTGTGCTGCAGTGGTTAGAATCCTGATCTGGGACTTAGGAAGATGATGATGATGATGACGATGACGATGATTATTATTACTATTATAACATTTCTATGCCGCCCC